AAGACTAAAACAGATGTTCATCTAATTTCTTCAGCCGCACTCAATCTTCATTCTCCAGTCAGTGGTGACTCACACTTTTCAGCATGCAAACTTCATGATATGATGAAAACACCATCAACAACAGTACCACAGGCTCTGACTGGGAATGGGATATGAGACGAAGACAAACAATTCAAATCTGCAAGAAATATTGTTTAGACTGTGTCATTCAGAGCTGATGTGACTGGAGTTACAGATAAGGTCCTTTAAGATGGTGCAATCAGCTGAAGAGCAGAAGTTAACGCTGCTGTCTCAGACAGAATCAGCCTGATGATTCGTCACCTCCTCAAAGTGTCTGTTATCCCCTGTGAAAGTCACTTCTATCAGGCCACTCTCGGGCCATTTCCTCTTTCCTATAAAGACGTTAACAGTGTAACTGGATGTAGAACAAAAAACTCTCTCTTCTTAAACCTGTCATCAGAGTCGGGGCACCACAAAAAATGTATTCTTGAAGCAATATCACAGGACAGCATGACAGTGGCCAGCAAGCCATTACCCCAACAGACTGACGCACAGCCAAAACTGGCTTGATCCCAATATGAGATCTATTATTCATTAGTACATCTCCTGACCAAACAGTCTGCCAGTCCGTGTGTGTATGTGCGGCCACACGCCTGTTCCTGATCTGCTTAAGGCGTCATGGTGAAAGGTTGCCAAGAGGTAGCCATTCCAAACAAACAGACTCGTGCTGCAGAGCTCAAAGCGTGCACGTCTTTCTCTGTTATCTATAGTCCTACATTTTCAACAGTATGAAATGCAGTTTGGACCTCTCACACTCATATATCCAACAAGAGGAAATGCTTGCAGAGGTATGATCACAATTAATTATAGCCAAAAAAGCCCCTCCTTGATAACTCCCTGCTGCATTGTTATCTGTTCATTCATGTGTACTACTGTCTGTCATATGACAGCCGCTCACAAACACCATGCTGCATCCTGTTATAGCCAACCACATCCTTGACAGGTTTGCTCCCCCTCCCATCTCTTTCAATTGTCTGCTCTGTCAGTGGCAGGTCTCCTTTGTTACCATCACAGTATGGAAGAGCTCTTTAGGGATGCAGAGCCACAACGTAGCTCAACAATTGCTAGCCAATCAGCTGGAGAAAAAACATACAGTAAATGAGCTGCACTTCATGGAACAAGTGTGCTTCATGATGTGTCGCCTGGTGACAGTTCAACCCGGTTGTATCTTTCCCAAATTAAAGATTACAATGCTTACAACAAAACTAGATAGGATGCAACAGCATCTCTGCCTCTGTTTTCCCATTAATTCTCTAATAATTAATGGACAATAATGACAATAAGATCTGTCGATTCTCTCTCATAACAAAACGTGGAGCCAAAAATAGGCCTAAAAAGAAACCACAAAAAGCGGAACCAACATCTGCACTGCCATGAGCTCTCTAAGTCCTTTGAGAACATTATAGAGAAAATATTAAGAAGTGGCAACATCTGCCATTAACTTCCATTTCTGGACAGAAATGAACTGCCTGACTGATACAGTTATCACATCCTCATGTCTGAACTCTGTCAGGCATTCTAAACTCACTGCCTACAGCATGAATCTCTCCCTGTTATAGCACATCACAGCAGATAGACTGTCACAGCAACAGAACCCGACTCCAACTGTAGCTTCCCTTCAGTGAGCAAAGACAAAGAGTCACCAAATTTTCATCTAAGTGTACGTTTTTGTGGTTCGATTGCTGTGTTGCTTTTGAGGGCTTAATTTGCAGAGTGTGTTGCTGAAGTTGTGGTGTCACCAACAAATCTTTGAAGTCTGCTTTTGCTATTTGTAGGGGATTGTTGACATAATTCACTGTATAGAAATGCATATGTTCCTAGAGACACATTATCTTCTTGCTTGATTTTACAGACTAAATCATCTAAAACTAATCTGCACTGAACTGACACTGTGAGTGCAATGAGCTAGCAACCTGCCATTTGAATGGTTGAACATTTATAATTACTATTAATTTTTCCATGAATGTAGCTGTAGTGAAATGATGAACGGCAGTATACCAGTAAAACTAAAAGGCTACAGCCATTTATTTACAGATTTATGAAGCTATACTTTAGCAAAACGGTGCTTTGAGCTAAATGCATGCTGACATGCTCGCAGTATCATGCTGATGTTTAGTAGGTTATATTTATGATATACAACACTATATAAGATATAACACTTACACTTCAAACTACAAACGTCGTGGATCACCAATGACATTAGGATCAATCATCTGGGGAACATGAACGTCAAAGCGTTATAGCACTTTAGTCGAACGCTTAAAATTTTTTTCAAGACTCAAAGCCTACATCACATCAGATACACCATCCTTTAAGATGGTGATAATTCTAAATACTTCAATCCTGAAAACCAAGAGCATAAGCATGGCTGTATGGAGGAGAAGCAGTTCAAAGTATCTGCTAGTGCCGCCCTCGATATCTGGCAGTTGGTGAGGGAGTTATGAAACCAGCTCTGTAGCTTCCTTCAGCCTCTCTGAAGCCTGGAGGTGGCTGAAGGCAAGAGCAGCAGCCTGCCATTAAAAACCATATCACTCCTGACACAGTCCAAGTCATTGTGACTGGAAAACAATCTAACAAACAGCACTAATTTCAAACAATTTACTGATCACTTACTTACCTAATAAAAGCTTTAACATTGTATTATTGTTAGTTCATGATTTTTCTGTCCTTACATGGCAAAACAGCTATCGCCATTTTTACACATTTTTCCAAATTAAACATTAGATGCTGTAAAATGCAACATCTGACAAGTGCACCAGGTGCTCAAACGCTTCTCAGCTGGTTCTGTTCACTAATTCCCTTTATTATTCAGCTGCTAGTGAGTGGATTTTCAAAACAGCATTCTCTTCTTTTTAGCACAGACCCTTGAGAAATGCTGCAAAGGTTACAGTATGACTTAGAATATATGTTATTTGAGTGACAACTGGGGACAAATGTCTTCTATGTATACAGCTCTAAACATACTACTTTTTGTGGTGTTATTCAACTGCAGTGATTGATGATTATCAGTGTAGTGGAATGATTCGCTTGACAAAACAGAAACAACAGCAGGTGCTCTGGAATATGGCACAAAACTCCCTCTAATGTACAAAATACATGATAAATGAATACAGTGGAATCCAGCAGACTATAGGTTGTGCACATTTATACAAAGATTCAGCTTGATGCCAGTGGGAAGCTGAAATTGCTGTTCATGTGGCCTTATACAATGCATGGATTCACTGCTGATACGATAACTTGTCTGCACAGATACTGTATGTTTCTCTTTCCTGCTCATGCATTCCACAGATTCTCCTTGTGTTTGACTGAAATCACTGATTTGGGAGTGACAGCAATGAAAGCCTTGAGAAAAACTGGCCACAAAACAAACCTCAGTGAACCCGTGTGTGACAGTGGAAAACCACAGAGGTACTTCACGTTCTTAATATTACAAGCTCCCGCATATTTACTACCTTAATATGACAAGCAAGGTCTCCAGGCTATTAAGAATTTTTCCCCTGATTTTGTCCTTGACCTCATCACCAGTCTGAGGCAGGATGTGCACACCATTGAAATCCTTTGCTTGTCACGACAGACATTTTTACATAAATTCTCAGACACACAGCACAAACAGCACTTTTGCAACAGCGCTGTTGAAACAAGAAACTGTCAACAGCTTTGACTCAGTTCTTTAAGGACTGACTTAACAGACGTACATTTAGCAAGTTTTTGCACAAGCCTTATACTGAGCATGAGAACCATTATTATCAGGCTGGATTTACAGAGTTGTAATTATCAGGAATGACTGGTAAAGACTACATATTGTCTCACACCTGCTTAAAGTGAAAGAATTATAGTAAAATCATCAATACTCCCATGTGAGTATGAGAAGCTGAGCTCAAACCCTGATAACATCTGATAATGGATCCTATCTACACTCACTGTCACACCTACATCCACTCAGCATGAGATACAGCCACTCACTCATGAAGGTGTTATTCATAGTTTTGGCTTCTGACTGGGTTATACTGAAAACTTGCTACCGTTA